TCTCCTTAAACAGTCTGCTTTCCTGATACAAATCGAAACTTTCGTGTGCCAGCAAAATTTCGCCAATAAAGAGTATTTGCATCGACAAAATATTAGCGTAACGCTAATGCTCTCCTGATACAAATCGAAACTTTCGAGTGCCATCAAAATTTCACCAATAGAGAGCATTTGCATCGATAAAATAATAGTGTAAGGCTAAACTCCTGCTCGGAATATTTGGTCGGTACCTAGTCAAACATTCTGCTCTCCTGATACAAATCGAAACTTTCGGGTGCCCGCAAAATTAGAGAGCATCTGTATCGATAAAATAATAGCGTAACGCTAAACTCGATTAGATAGGATTATTGGTAAGATAATCTTACGGAGCCCACGATTATACTAAGTGAGATTTCAGCGCAGTTTTTAGGTCTTCAGCTTTAATTTTTCAATGAATAACGGCATGAGACGATTTTCCGGTCTCTTAAGCAATCTTTTGTGCCATGTAGCGTATTTAAACTGTAGGCAGATACACCTTGCTATCTCCGCTACGAAGTTGCATTAAGTGTGGGCGAAAAACATGTTCAAATTCCTCATGTTACAAGCGTGTTTGCTTAGAGTGAGTGTGAGTGAATGGATTGAGATAACTCAATTTTCCAATCCGAATCGTCATCAGAGTGGTAAGATTGAGCTGGTCAAACTCGCAAAAATCCAACATAAATTGATTCATTTTAGTCAACTCGAATACTGCTTCAAACACTACTATTCCCAGTTTTTATTTTACCTTGAATGATCCCACGGAGCAGACCAAAGAAGCATCTCGAGTTGAATCAACGCATGTTGCGGATGATGCAGAGTTATTGGTGGAAAACGGCCAGCTTGCAGAAGCACCCTCGACATTCATAAATGCCTTAAACAATATTCAAAGCCACTTGATGGATTTCAAGGGAAAATCTCTGCAAGTTAAGGTGCAGCACTTGGAAAAGCTGAAGAACGATCTACTGCACGACATCAGTGAGTACTCAATTTTGTTCTGAATTGTTCTGTTTAATGCAATCCGCACTGGTATGTTGCTTACAGAGCATCGCATATCTGGTTGGTCTTCTGTAGTGGATGGTCAAGACAAATTTGAGTCCAGGCTCTACAAGAACTCCTATTTCGATGAACATCACATGGATTATCCCTCAAATGAAAGTGCCTTGATGACGATCGGATTTTTGACTTTCGCAGTTTTTTTAATCAAGTTAGTCCTGGTAGGTGCTTTTTGCAGACTCCAAACTACTCAAACAAATAAAGGAAACATGCGTTTTTTGGTGTTTCAAAATGGCATTTTACGGCAATAAACCCGGATTGCACAGAATTAACTGTATGCACATGCATATTTTACTTTCAGAAATTAATTTACGCCCTCAAGATGAAACAGCAGTTTCACTACCAAACAACCACCACGCCAGCCAGCATATTTTTGAAAAATGTGCGGCGCGACGATGATCAATCGACTCGAATCATGCAGTATCTTGAAGAATATTCCCCGGTGTCGAATGAATGATTTAGGCGATTATAAGGAAACAACTTGTTAACGGTTAGGAAAATAAATAATATCTTTCTTTTATTAAACTAGTTCAGGTATAGTCACTTTTACAATTATGTTACACGATAAAATCCTAGGGTTTTGTTAGGTACATATACAGGGTGTGAGTAAATTCCGAAATTTTTCAACCAGTCAAAAAACGAAACTTTCCGCCTACAGTCTATAATTCGAATCTCAAATTAGCACAACTTATCTTTTATTTTATTTCAACAATCTAAAATTGATTTGAAAGCGATGGTTTTCTCTATGTATATCCAATTTGTTTAAAATAAAGATTCGCTGAAAAATGTACAAAATCGGAAAAAAATAGAGACCTAAAGCGTGTAACTTTCTTATCAATCTCAAAAATTCAAAAGTTTGTTAAGTAAAGTGCGTTAAAAATGCGCTGAATTTATCTTTACTCCACCGTTTTGAAAATTCAAATCCGTTATAAAATGTGGAAGTTATGTGGCAAATTCTATTTACAGTCCGGCACCAAAAAGTACATAACTTCCTTATTATGCACTTAGTTAGGAAAATCTAACATTTGCTTGAAAGAGGACTACTTTTTATATAATTTGCTTTTCGGAAAATTTAAATCAATCGAAAAACGTGAACGTTTTGCCATAAATTCTGTTCGGAATCAAGATGCAAAAAGCGCACAAGTTCCTTATCTCCGGCTCGCCCCCAAAAAAATCCTCTAAAAATCTCAATTACTCAACAATTTACCCATCGAAAATTTTCCAAACAAACCTGAAAATAGCAAAAGGGCCAAAATAAAAAAAAACTCATCCGCTTAAAAAAATCACGACAAACGTCCTTAATAATTTTGGAAACAATGTTTAGAGCAATTTTTGTACAATGCGCCTTTTGAAAAATTTTAATCCGTTCCAAAACGTAAACGTTACGACCAAAATTTGCGTCAAAACCGTATAACATAGCATAAGTATAGACCGTGTAAGTATAGTAACCGTATATACAGGGTGGTTCACGGGCGATGGCGTATTAGACGTTTAAGGAGAACGCGATGCCCGATCTATCTGCAAATTTGTACAACGGATATGCTCTACCATCCTAAAAAATTTTCAGCAATGCGACGTTGCCGCTTATACCGGAAAAGTACATACAAATTTGACATGTAAACGAGACACCCTGTATATTATTGCACCGATATAGTGGCTATATAGATCTGATTATTTTTGCATTATGATTCCTATATCTATCTAAAGCGGTTTCCGAAATATTAAATAAAATTCGTTATTCGTCATCAAAACGTAGCCCCAATGAATCTTGTATTACAAGGCGATTTCGATCCCTGGAAATTTAAAATTTTGGTACTGGGTTAGGAAAACCCTATGCTTGAGCTCGGCGTACAGCAATTTGTTCCAAATTATACAGCCTGTCTTGAAAATACTGGCTAGAGATTAACGGTCTAAGTCTATAAAGTCAATCTAAGCGTGCAATAATATACAGGGTGTATAATTTAAAGTATAAAAGTTGCATGTACTTTTTGGTATAAGTGGCAACCTCGCATTGCTGAAAATATTTTAGGCCGATAGAGCTTATCCGGTGACTTCGTCGTACAAATTTGCAGATAGATCGTGCATCGCGTTCCCCTTAAACGTCTAATACGCCATCGACCGTGAATCACCTTTTATAGTAACCGTATAAGTATAGAAGTTTTGAGAAAAATCCGCTTTATTTTCTTCGTTATATTTTAATAAATTGCAAAAATACGATTAATTTGTTTTCAATTTACCTTTTTTAAAACGGAAATCCGTTGGAAACATCGAACTTTTGACAAACATTGCTTTGCGATCCGGATCTAAGAAGCGTGTAACTTTTCGTCACTTTATTTAAAAAATCTACAATTTGTGTCAAAGAACGTGAAATTTACAAGTGTGGTACCGCTGCATGGAAAAATAATTACAGTTTACTAATGATTTGTATGTCCGCAACTGGCGCGATTTACCATTACGCACGTGTTTTCTCACACCCTGTATATTAAACATTTAACATACAGTTAACGAGTTAGATGCTAAGACCCGCTATGCATAGTCGTCTTTATTCTTGGAGCGTGCTTGATAATTTCAAAAAAACCTTTAGTGTCTGACGACTATGAAATAGTAGAGATTCAAATCCTATACTGGACTGAATATATCTGAACTTCACATTATAAGCTTGACTATAGATATCGGGCCTCAGCCTTATTTATACTATGTACAAGTCGCCTGAAGTTTCCCGATTTCATTTCATAATCCTGAAATTCCAACGTTATAGTTTTATAATGTTTACCGAATGTTGTACGTACCCATCGTTTCCTGTTGGATCTCCACTTTATACGTGGGATTATCATAAGCTGATTGACTGACTCGCGTGGAAGGCGGCGTTATCGCCGCCTTATTCTGATTGTGTCGCTTAACCAGAATCAGCAACAGGATCAGAGTGCTCAGAATGGCTATGGAGGCCAGGATGGCGACTATCACCAAAGGTCCATAATAATCATCGTGCACGCCGTCGGCCAATTCCGCTCGCAGTACTTTATCTAGAAGAACATAATCATAAGAACTGTACCGGTAGTTCGGTCAATGTCTATAAGTATGGTTTGCTTTTGCTTCGTAGTAAATTCTTCGTTATTTAGACCTAGTTTTTTCCTTCGGGAGCTGTTTTCCCGGATGAAAATCTTCTATGGGCTCTAAAAACTCCACGGATTTACGTAAAAATATACCCTATAGAGACGTGACAAACGGTTATTTTTCTGTAACGGGTTCCAACGTTCCAGTTTTACCTTGGTAATAGGTTTCAAAATGCGGTTCCAAAAGGAACATGTTACTTTTTAAATTTTTCATTAAAAATGCAGAATGATGATGATAGTAGAAATAGTGATGATATATAATGATTTCCTTTAGCAAATGCATAATTCTTAACATTGGTAAACTTAAAATAAAATATTCTAAAATCAAAAACAAAACATGGTAGTTTACACTGTTCTGATTTTAACTATCAGAACAGTGTAAGCGTTCAAGCAAATCACCCCTGAAGATGCAAGCCACTCGTGTTTGCGAAACGTCAGGAAGAAATTCCATTTTACGACGGCCTAAAAACCCGAAAAACCCACTAGTTTCAAGGAATGGCCTCGAAAGTCTATCTCTTTTGATATCGTTCAAATTGTTCGTAAAAAGCCTAAATAAGAAATCATACATAGACAAAAAATAGGCGATCCACTGGACTTAGCAGCTCAAGCAAAATACATGGAAAATATATAATTGAAAACAAAATTGAATCATTAGGGTCGTTACACCAGCTCACGACGAAAATCCGAAATTTAGACTGGTCCGGTTTTTAGGAAAAACAAAAACACGTGTTTTCCACATAAAATCAATAGAAACCTTCCGATTATTTGAGGCGCGTGATCAATCAACTTTAAAAGTCCAATTCCTTTTTGCGCAGTTTTTGCAGCCTTAATGTATGGTAATATAGATACATATATAAAAAAAATATATATGTATATGAAAGATTAAATAAGTTTATACTATTTATCTATTGCTATTTTGTTAAATATTGAATAAACAAATTCAGCTAAAATTCAAAACTATTCATGAATCTCTAAAACGCAATCCTATTGGTTGTGAGGTCGCTGGTCATATAAATGGCGGATTATTTACGTTCTGTGCATAGTGTTTAGTTGTGTGGTTGTGTTTCATTAATCATTTTGTGGATTTAAATAATTTATAGTTTGTGTTAAACTAAAAAATGGCTTCAGAAGGATTCCTTAAAGCGTCACCAAACAATTTACCATGTGTCCTTTTTTTTATGGTTACCGAATTTTTAAAAAACGACGAACGCTTTGTTTCAGCCGAATTTATGGGTGTCAAAGCAGCAGCGTCAGTAAAAATTCGTAAATTTATTATTAGTTACTCTCTCCTTAATATACTAATCTGTCTGTATTGGTTTAAATTAGGTAAATAATATATAGAATCTCAGTTACTCAACTTAACCTAACTTATACACATGGCTGCTTTAAAAGTAAAATGAACTCTTAAATATGTATTTTGGGCTTCACGAGAACAATATGGTGATATCGGATATGTGGAATTGAAACGTGAGGGTTCTTTGCGCACTGTACAAGGTAGAATTTGCACAGAACACAGAGTACGATCGAAGGTATATTCTGTCTGCCTCATCATTAGCTTTTTGTTCGTACTTTCACTAAAATGATCCTGGCAACAAAAAAACATTGATTTTAATTTAGGAACATCACGTCTAGCTGCTTTGAACCATAAAACTTTACGTGCATAATCATGGGGAACGGTTGGAAAGAGTTTGTTTCGAGCACTTATTGAGGCATCCTGGCACCAAACACCACTTATTTTGTGATCCATACATGTCACTATTTTCCAATATGCAAGATAATAATAATCAATAAAATAATGATAATCACAATAACTTAAAAAATATGTTGATATGACCTGCTACGTCACAATCGGGATAGGCAACCGATACGGATTCGGCGTTTTTGGCGGAAAAATATCTGATTTAAATTTAAATTCGCTTTAAAATGACTAAGGAGAGTTTTTTTGCAAAACAAAATATATCAGTGTAATGTTTGACATAACTACTTTCTATACAGGGTTGCTCATTAGTGCGTCAAAGTGCGATATCTCAGTAAATATGAACTTTACAAGAAAATACGTCCTACGACAGTTTTTCATGTTTAAAAGGTCCACATTTTAAAATTACTTTCCAATATACGGGG